ACAGACCAAAAGGATGAAAATGACAGACGTTTGTTGTTAAATATACCTAGAAAGTGTTTTGTTATACCTGTTAATCCTGCCAGAAACCTAGCAGGACGATGTTCTCTGCTGACCGTTATGTTGTCACAGTTATCAGCTCTCACAGGACTACAGAACACTTCCTCCATCTTATGGAAGAAGAGGAGAGGGAGGTGTTCTATAGTCCTAACATGCGTCCTGTCCTAGAGTGACAATGATGATTCCTACATACTGTAGATACAGTACAGTGAGTGAGCTTTGCCACCCTAGACCTGGAAGTGTTGTCAAGATCACAAGTGAAAATAAAAGGGGATGTGTCCTCAAAAGCTTTGCCAGTGTCCAATCACCTACTGGTATTAGTCCAGGGTCTATGAATATCAAACCTGTAGCCTGTACATTAAGATAAAATCTCAACAAAAATGAAAACTTTTACAACCTAAAGTAAGAGAGTTGATTGAATTGACATCTTAGTCTGAACGCTTGTCCTCCTTTCTTCTCTTTAGGCCTTGTTCACACTTGCTGAAAACACTGACGCTTAACAAACATGCCTCTAGCTTTAATGCGAGTTGTTGGTTGAGTTTGTGCAGTGTTGAACGCACGCTAATGGCAAGTTAAAAATGCTTCCCAAACATTCTATGTGCATTTGACATTAGTTTGAGAAGCGTTAAAAACGCACCCCAGAAGCCTAGGTTTTTTCTTGGCTGCTGTGAACAATGCCCAACTCCCTGCAAACGCGCAGCAAAACACATACCTCTGTGTTTATGGTGCATTACCATAGACTTGAATAAAAGAAGCTGAGATGTTACAACTCCTTCCAAACTATACATGAAGCTTCATTTTTGAAGTGCAGTAACGCGATGTGACGCAAACACTTCATGTGTTGATAATATGAACAGCACTGTGTGCTTCCATAGTGTTCATTACAGACTGCTTTACTAAGAATTTCAGGAGAGTTAAAAACACACCCCGAACTCTTCCTTTTAATGCTTGTGTATACAGGGCCTTATTTTCAACAAGAGAGAATAAAGAAAAAGAACCCCAGCATAAAAAAAGTAACTAATACAGCTTTACTCTATTTACCTCTGAATTTGAGTGCAGGTCTTTAAATGGCGGTAAAAGATTGCATACGTAACTGAACAAAACTAAATAATACATTTTTAGTTGTGGAAATGGACTATTTATTTAATTGGGACACATATATTACGGCATAGCCTAGGTAAATTTAACAGATTTGGACATGGCCATGGCAGCAATGTTGGCAAATGTGTTTGAACCCTCAAGACCCATGGTTAGTAGCTTTTCATTGTCAGTATATGTGTATAATAACCCCATATAATTAGATTGTAAGCTCCAAGGACTCCCTCCTAACCCTCTTGTATTGAACTGTATTGTTGCTGTATTGTCTCCCGTTATATTGTAAAGGCAGAGCAAACTGTTGGCGCTATATAAATATTGTATAATAATAATAATGAAATGTATCATTTATTATAATAATAATATAGAGTATCCTTGGAAAAGACATGCAACATCATTGCTCGATGTCTAGCACCATTTTCCTACAGTGCTGGGGTTCTTCGTTCCAAAAGCAGCCATTTTTTATTCTTCCCATGGGATCTCTTCCAGATTCCAGAAAATCTACACAGTGCTTAAATGTGCTTTAAAAATGTGAAGGTGCAACTGCATGGCAGGGCCATTAAGGGCCTGTTCACACTGCCCTGGACAGTTGCTGCAGACTAAACTCCAGCCTGCATTGCAGTGTGAATAGAACACATATTTATTTATTTCAGGTACTTATATAGCGCTGTCAATTTCTTCACATATATTTATATTGTACATTCACATCAGTCCCTAACCCTCAAGGGGCGTATTATCTAAGGTCCCTAACTTTACATTTATGCATACACATACTAGGGCCAATTTAGACAAGATCCAATTAACCTACCAGCATGTCTTTGGAGTGTGGGAGGAAACCCACGCAGGTACAGGGAGAACATGCAAACTCCAGGCAGGTAGTGCCGTGGTTGGGATTCGAACAAACAACCCTAGTACTGCCAGGTGGAAGTGCTAACCATTTAGCCACTGTGCTGCCCATAGAAAACAATAATTTTCCTCTCCTAGTGGTGACTGGCGTTCTTCCATTGCCAGTCACACCATGTGTGAAATGGACCTAAGTTCTTTCAAGGCCACAAGTAGAATATGACGGCAGTATACAAATGTAAGATTGAAATAATTATTCAAAAGGTGGAGTTTGCTAAATGTACTGCAGGAACCCTCAATGATGTATGACTGCAGATCTCCACTACTGTAAGTGCCATGCAGCACCTGAACCCACTGTGTATTTTAAACATTCAGCACAAATCTGGCCAAAGTGTTCCAGTTTATCACCATCCGGAGAGATGGAGGATAAATGAGCATGGTTATTGTTGGCTGAATAACAGAGAGCTGAAATGAGACAGGAAATGTAATGAAGAACACAGGTGTTCGGGTAAATTACACCTTAAACCAGGCAGAATAATGAGACATCCCAGTGGTATAAAAGCTCCAGTAATGGAGAGTAAACACAGAATTTTCACACTCTACAAAAATTAACACCTTGAAGCTATATTCCTATAAAAAGGGCAGTTAATACACAGCTTTAGTTCTTAATACTGGCTTGTGAATTTATTTATATTTCATCAAGTCTAATAGGTTTATGTAATATGGAAAGAAATTGAAACATGCAACCTCAATAGCAAACTCTGATGGGTTAATGTATGATTACTGTACTTTACAGATATCCTCCTTTCTGTACAATGGCCATTAACGATAAAGCGTGGTCAGGTATGTTGAAAACTCCTACGTCTTTGCTGAATAGGGCTTCCCTAAGATTTGCATTCATTGATCTTTCTTGTTTAGGACGATGCAGAGAGGAGGGAGAGGTGATCCAGACAGTATCAATGTAGACAGTGTATTAATGACTGGACAAACTTTATAAACCTTTCTTTCCCCAGATATGGCTGTACTTAATTGTGTCTCGTGGCTTATAAACATTAGATTGTAGCCAGATTGGGCACCGAATGTCATGGAAATTTTGTATTTACAGATTGAACTTTAAATGTGCCATATATTAGTGTTATTCATATGTCTCTCGTGTGGCTTAATTAAAGCTCTGAAGGCTGCAATTGGGCCATGCGCATTTACAATGTATGTATTACAGTACTCAGCTCGGTAATGGATGAGATGGCAGATCTGCGCTTATAGACCGGCGTGTATACCACCACGGCATTTGATGCGAATGCCGCCGGCGGTAGGCCGCGGGCCTGTATCCACATATCAGCAGCATAGTACCACATGGACTCCATACCGCAAGGAGCCAAGCAGTGCGAACTCCGCCTGTAGGCTCATGTATATCTTACAAGCCATTACCAACCTGAAACTGTATCTGGATGGATGTGTTTTAATAAAGATCGTATCGGGCCCATCCAGATACAGACACTGTTTAATCTAGGGAATGCTTGTACAGAGAATTTACATATCATTAGGAGCTAGTAGGACAGGAAGTCTGCTCTCCTCAGAGCATGGGGGGAGGGGAGGGAGGACTGGAGATAGATAAAAGGAAAGGCTATGCTCCAATCGGAATGTACATCCTGTGTATAGGCACTCCCCATTGCATTGTTCTGTGGGAGGGGATTGACCTTATTCATGTGGGGGGCGTGTGTCTGCTTGTAAATAAAAATTGGAGGCTGGGGTTAGAGCCGTCTCTATGTGAATTCCAACAGCAACCTGAGAGTGTTGCCTGATCATTTCCAGGTATAGGGAGCTCCAATTCCCCACATCTCAACAGAAGCTAACCCAGTTGGGAGGCGCAGGAATTGTGGGGCTAAGCTGCAGTCGTGGTAAGCGAGATTCGCACAGCTTTATGGGGGATTTCTGCGCATCCAACTGCGAGTACTCACGGTAAGGAAAAATTCGTTAAAAGCGAATTTCCAAGACACGTGTGTATAGGCACCTTTATTGAATACACCCATTCTCTTTTGCCCAGTATCTACACGGCTTAAGCTGGCCACACACAGAGCAAATTGTGCTCACTGGATGGCCCAGTTGGCTGCCTGACATTCTTCGATTGAAAAGATGAAGGAGCCAAGCAGAAAAATGTTGCTCAAACAGCGCTGCATCCAATCAACATTTTTTTTTTCTAAATTTCGCTGGAAATTTCTTGCTACTAGTAAAACCTAAATAAAACAACCTAAAAGAAATTCTCCTGCTCCTGGCAACCGCATCAATATCACATATGCACATGAGCTCTGATGAAGAAGGGACTCTCTTTGAAACGCGTCAGCCTGACTTTGAGAATCCTCCCTCGTGATAAGACTCGCGCTGGTCTCACACACTCCTAGAGTTTCGTTGAGGATCTTATACGCTTGTTATACTTCTCTGTTTGTGAGTATATTTTCAAATTCAATAAAATCACATTTTACTGAAGTTTTGCGCAAGGATGGTGGGCTTTTTGTTTCGCTTTACAGTACTGGTCGGGCTTCCCCAGCCTTGTTTAGAGCCGCACAACCTTTGATGCATTGGTGGTGAATTTCTTCAGGTTCTGTGTCCATCCATCCACCCTTGCTCTGGGCCATAGAGTGCAGGAGGTGTTTTTGTTTCCATAAACCATATATTTGTACCTGTAGTAGTCCAGAAACAATAGTGCACCTTTTTGTTTTGTTTTTGTTTTTAAATCCAACTAACACACTGACACCGATACTAATTTGAAAAAATCTAATTTTTTTAAACCTACCTAAAATACACTGACCCTTACCCGACCTGGATTAAACTCTGATCTAGCTATTTGTCTCCATTTTTTTGCACACACTTGTTTAAAGTTTAAAGAGGAATAGTGCCCCATCATTGGTATCAATAGGAGGAATAGTGCCCCATCATTGGTATTAGTGGGAGGAATAGTACCCCATCATTGGTGTCAGAGCGACGAATCGTGCCCCATCATTGGTGTCAGTGGGAGGAATAGCACCCCATCATTGGTGTCAGTGGGAGGAATAGCGCCCCATCATTGGTGTCAGTGGGAGGAATCGTGCCCCATCATTGGTATCAGTGGCAGGAATAGTGCCCCATCATTAGTATCATTGGGGGGAATAGTGCCCCATCTTTGGCGTCAGTGGGAGGAATCGTGCCCCATCATTGGTGTCAGTGGGAGGAATAGTGTCCCAACATTGGTGTCAGTGGGAGGAATAGTGTCCCAACATTGGTGTCAGTGGGAGGAATAGTATCCCATCATTGGTGTCAGTGGGGGGTGGAATAGTGCCCCATCATTGGTGTCAGTGGGGGGGGGGGAATAGTGCCGCATCATTGGTGTCAGTGGGGGGGAGGAAAAGTGCCCCATCGTTGGTGTCAGTGGGAGGAATAATGCCCCATCATTGGTATCAGTGACACCAATGATGGGGCACTATTCCTCCCACTGACACCAATGACACTTGCTGACCCCTGTTCCAGTATGGTGCTGCTGCAGCCAGCATATGTGGTTGCAGCAGCACCTCTGTACGGCACACTTACCGGCCGCTCCTTCACTCGATTTTCGCGGGGGCCACTCGGCTCTGCCTCCTTGCCGGTGCCGGTGATTGGCCGCCTGTGTGCCTTTCCTGAGCTACAGTTCTGGCAACCAATCACCAGTGAGGAGGCGGAGCCGAGCAGCTGCACGAACATCCAGTGGCCGAACTGAATGAAGGAGCAGCCGCGCCTCCTGGACCGGATCGTCGTGGGATCGGAGCCAGGTAAAAAACAGCAGCCCCTGCCCACCCCTGTACTTAGTGTCCCTTCCGTTGAAAGGCCCCCCTATAAAGTGTCAGCATGCCGTATACCGGCGTATAAGACGACCCCAGACTTTTGAGAAGATTTTCAAGGGGTAAAAAGTCGTCTTATACGCCGGAAAATACGGTACTTCCACACTGCAATGCTTGGCACTGCAGGGCTCTGTTGCAGTGTAAACAGGACATATGAAAAACAATCTCTTAGATTGTAAGCTCCCAGGACCAGGACCCTCCTTTCCCTCTTGTATTGAACTGTATTGTTGCTGTATTGCCTCCCGTTATATTGTAAAGCCCTGAGCAAACTGTTGGCGCTATTTAAATCCTGTATAATAATAATAATTGTTTTCTGTGTGCCCTGCAATGACTGCTGCTGATCTGGTGCAGGGAAATGCCAATCACAGCATCTAGTTTGGAAAAGCCTTTACATGTAACATTTTACAGCTGTCTGAATTTTCACGGCACATTTGTTTCAGACTACATATCTTCATCAATACCAGAGAACCAATACCAGCTTTAAAGTTTATATCCAGCCAAAACTTAACTTTTTTCACAAAAGTGGAAGCAGAGCAGAACCCCCATTGGGCTTAATCATAGAGGTAGCTCTACTTCTTGGATAAAACCCAATAGGACTGAAATGCATCACAGGGGCATCGCCTGAGGCGGGGACTGTGTCTTTGGAGGCCAGCTACCTGGAATAAAGTATTATGGGGTGATTTTACATAGCACCGCTCTATTTCCACTTTGTTTTACAATACATACTGAGCAGCACGAACACAGAGAACCAACACCTGTTGAATGATTAGGACCTGAGGAGTACTGAGCAGAGCTTCGAGCGGTGCGTTTTTTTAATGGGATTTCCACTTCAGAGTTTTCTACAATATAAAACAGAGAATGACATCCTAACGTACAACTGTAGCCAAAACTTTTATTTTTTATATATATATCTTGTAGAAGGATTAGAAAACCTGTTGGGTTTTTTACTGCCCTCCGGGGCTTCAAGAAGCTAGGTTTACACGTGCCCATTCTCCGTAAAACAATCCAGATTGAGTCACTTTTCAGAGTGCAGCTCAGCAGTCACTGTCAGGCGTTCAGGAGGCAATCCTGCCAAGTCATGCATGGCTTTTTTTTTTTTTTATTGCTGAACACCAAATTTCTATAGGACTAATATGCTGCAACTGTAAGCCAAGTGTTTGACTCAAGGTTAATTTGAATGGCCTAGTTTGACAAATGGTTCTACCTGTCAACTTGGCATTCCACAATAAATTTGTTGCAATACAAAAAACATTGCGGCACGTGAACAGCACCCGTCAGCTACATTGCGGCACGTGAACAGCACCCGTCAGCTACATTGCGGCACGTGAACAGCACCCGTCAGCTACATTGCGGCACGTGAACAGCACCCGTCAGCTACATTGCGGCACGTGAACAGCTCCCGTCAGCTACATTGCGGCACGCGAACAGCACCCGTCTGCTACATTGCGGCACGCGAACAGCACCCGTCAGCTACATTGCGGCACGCGAACAGCACCCGTCAGCTACATTGCGGCACGCGAACAGCTCCCGTCAGCTACATTGCGGCACGTGAACAGCTCCCGTCAGCTACATTGCGGCACGTAAACAGCACCCGTCAGCTACATTGCGGCACGCGAACAGCACCCGTCAGCTACATTGCGGCACGCGAACAGCACCCGTCAGCTACATTGCGGCACGCGAACAGCACCCGTCAGCTACATTGCGGCACGCGAACAGCACCCGTCAGCTACATTGCGGCATGCGAACAGCACCCGTCAGCTACATTGCCGCACGTGAACAGCACCCGTCAGCTACATTGCCGCACGTGAACAGCACCCGTCAGCTACATTGCCGCACGTGAACAGCACCCGTCAGCTGTATTGTGGGCCATCAAACTGCGACTCAACTACCTGTTTTCACTACCACCACCTAAAACTGGTTCTAATCCATTCCCAATTATCAAAATGATAAGAAAAACAGATTGACTGGCTATATCCTTTAGATATATCAAAGGGTATTCACAAATACTCCATACAGATATCTTTACCTTCCTATGCACAAAGGACCCACATTGCACACTGCTTTGCAACCTGTAACTCTTTGTTACTGAACCTAATAGGAAAGCATACCAATTGGGTACATGCAAAATTAGCCGGCCTGATGCAAGTCTTTGGCTCAGGGCTCTACTTCTACCTGGTATTCATGTTGCACACAGTTACACCCCCTCTTTAAATACACGTCCACAGCATCCCGATTAACATGTAAAAGACAGACAACAGCAGCAGTAGGTATTCTGTGCTGACAATGTGATGTGCAAAGCTGCAGAGCGGGTAATTACACTGTAATAGTAATCTTGCGAGGCCCGAGGCCTAGTAGATTCACATCTGAAATACAGGATGTTGAAAGGAAATTGCTTCTAAATGACAACCACTATAAAACCAGATCTCAGTAAAGAAATAAAAAGCTTTCAATAAAAAAACAGGAATCTCTTTGGCCCTAATGATCTAGGAGAATTACCCCTTATTGAGGACTCTAGTACAACAGTCATAATAATAGCATGTCACTCAACAGACTCTTGTAAAACTGTCATCTCAGTCTTGCCACACCTCTTATCGGGGGGGGGGGGGGTTCCAAGAAAAGCCACAAAAGTTCGACAAAAAGATTTTTAATATGGATGCTTAAATGGCTTGTTTCAATGCTGAAAGGCAATCTATTGTGATTTAATGTTTAATGTTTTGTTATAGCAGCATTTAAATTTTTTTTTTTCGAAATTTTCACATTTAACCACTTGCTGTCCAACTGCTGTTTATAAACAGCAGGACGGTGGCACTCCAGAGGTGGGTTGCCGTTCATAAACGGCACCCGCCATTTCTAGCTGTGCGCACTCCCTGGGAGCGCGCAGCACCGCGATCCGCTGCCCGCTGTGTCCTCCGGACACAGTGAAACACCGATCGTCGGACAGGACCTCTGTACGAGGTCCCAATCATGTGATCACTGATTGGCCAATCAGTGATCACATGCAAAGTAGTAAGTAAGGTGTCACTTGTGACATCATTGCTTACTACGTGTGAAATCTGTGAATGATCACAGAGATCACATGGTACAAGGCTATTCACAACAGCCTTGTACCATGTGACAAGCTGTGACCAATCACAGCTCACTCAGTACTTCTCAATGGCTGCAAGAATGCAGACAGACAGAAAGGGAAATGATTGCTTTTACATCCTATATGGGTGTAAAAGCAATCACTGTAAAAAAAAAAAAAAAAAAATCTTCATCACCCCCCACAAGTAGTACAGTGTCACCATGACACTGTACTGCTAGGGTGACAGTATGTAAAAAAAAAAAAAAAAACAAATATAAAAAAATAAAATAAAAATTTAAAAAAGGTTTAAAAATTATCATTTTTGGTTATAAACTAATTTGGCTTATTTTTTTTTTTTTTACTAAAAAGATAACAGAATACATTTTGGCCAAGATTTATGATGAAAGATTATTTATTTGCAAAATGTTATAAGAAAAACTTTTTTTCAAAATTTTTGGACTTTTTCATTTACATAGCAAAAAAAATAAAAATCCCAACAGTCAATAAATACCACTAAAATAAAGCTTTATCTGTCTCAAAAAAATGGTAAAAAATTCATATGGGTACAGTATTGCATGACCGCACAATTGTCATTCAAAGTGTGATAGCGCTGAAAGCTGAAAATTGCCCTGGACAGGAAGGGGGTAAAAGTGTCCGGACTGGAAGTGGTTAAACATGGTTATGCTAATGCACACAAATAATCTGAAATCATAAACAGAAATCTTTATTTCCCCATTGGGGAGATTTCCCTCCATGTTCTGTAGACACAACATGAAGATGAAATCACTCCTTAGGCCTTATGCACTTGGGCCTCTTGTGTTTAAAGTTTTATACTTCCCATATCCGTTTCTCTTCCATCACGTTTATATGCATTTAGCTATAGAAACCCAGGTTAAACGGCCCTGGAAAACACGAAATTCTTGTTTGTCATTGAGCTGCATCTAGGTGTATTCAGTCTAGTTACATTTACACAAAGTGTGACTTTAAACAAAGCAAACCTTTACATGCTTCATATGTTTGGAAATGAGCTCTGAATAATTATAAAGGATGATAGAGCCAACAGCTTGTGCATAGCTTTACAAAATGGAGGGAGACAGTACAGTTACATTACAATTCAATAAAATAAGAATCAGAGGTCCCTGTTAACCTCCCTAGCGGTCTGATTATGTCCATATTTCAGTGCTGAAAGCGGTACTTTTTTGCATGGAAATATGTTTTTTTTTTTTATTGTAGGCCTGTAATTTTTAGGAATAACTCACTGAAATCTGTCCGAACAAGAGTCTAGTAAACATCCCGGGTAGGATAAAACTTGAAACACAAAATCATAAATTATAATATAATAAATAATCATAAAAAAATAATAATATAATAATAATAAATTTAATTCAATACTATAATCAAACCAAAAACACTGAAATTTTAAATATAGCGCCAGTACGCACATCGCTGAGCTAAGTTGCACAATCGTTTTCAGTGTCTGA